GGCGCGCCCTGTGGGTGCGCCGCTCGTGACAGCCGCGGGTGTCAACCTGCCGGCGACCGCCGTCCAGACGGCTCTCCGCAACCGCCGCAACCGCCTGCGTCCCCGCCTAGGTCCTGGACAAGGACTTTGTGCTGCCAATTGGCAAGGCCAAGGTGATGCGGCAGGGGACGCACGTGACCATCACCGCGCACTCCAAGATGGTGGGCTTCAGCCTGGCAGCTGCCGAGAAGCTGGCGGCGGAGGGCATCGAGGCGGAGGTGGGGCGCGGCGGGCGCTCGCGATTCAGGGGGTTTGCGGGCGACAGCATGTGCACCTGCCTTCCTGGGCTCGAGTTTGGGAGTGCATGGCTACCGCATGGTGTGTTGTACTGTATGCGCACGCCCGTGTGTTCAACACGTGTGTTCGTGTATGTGTGTTTGGGGCGCCGTGGCCTGGATTGCAAGTCCATTGTTTGCACTGTTTACGGGATAGTGCCAACTGCAGGCGTGGCCTGAATATACGGAGGGCCCCTGCTCACATCCAGCAACGAGCGCCCCGCACCCCGCACCCCCAGGTCATCAACCTGCGCAGCCTGCGGCCCCTGGACCGCCCCGCCATCGCGGCCAGCGTGAAGAAGACGCACCACCTCGTCAACGTGGAGGAGGGCTGGCCCACCTGCGGCATCGGCAGCGAGATCTGCGCCGTGGCCATGGAGGACAGCTTCGACCAGCTGGACGCCCCCGTGGGCCGCGTGACAGGTGGGGAGGGGCGTGGCGGGGGTGGCGGGCCTTTCAAGGGGGTTGCCAGTGGAGCGCCAGCTGGGCAATCCTTGCGCAGCTAGCACCTGTACCTCAGGTAGCATGACCGGACACACACACACACACACACACACACACACACACACACACACACACACACAGACATGCATGCAGCCTGCGCGATCTCACGCACGAAATACCACACACAAACGCACACAAACATGCACGCGCACGTGCTCGCAAGGGTGCGCTTTGCATGCTACGCGCACATATCGACGACCTTGTGTACACCCACCCACGCACCCATCACCCCACCTACCTGTCCCCGTCACCTCCCCAAGGCGCCGACGTGCCGACAGCGTACGCCACGGAGCTGGAGAAGGCGTCATTCCCCTCTGTTGATGACATCGTCAAGGTCGTCAAGCAGACGCTCGGCAAGGCTTGATGATGCCCCATGACGTCACACTGATGTTGTCCGGCGCCCTCGCGGCCACGTGGCGCCCGCATGCCTCGCTGCGGCGCAGGGGCCGCCAGCCCGGCTGGCGCCAGGGCCGGCTGGGGACCGGGTCCACAGGCGCGGCCGCGGCTGAGCACACGTTTGCAATCGGGCTGCCACCAGACGCAACGGCTGGCATGTTATTCTTGGCCGGCGGTTGGGAGGGGGCTGTGTCAGCACATAGCGGTAGCTCGCCCCCGCCTCGTTTCCCGGCTTAAGCGTTGTGCACGTGTGGCTGCGCGTAATCTGCAGCTTGCGGTTGCCCCAGCAGCTCGCTCTCTCTCTGTCTCGTTTTCTTTTTGCGGTTATTGCCCCTTTCCCAGCTTTTCCCTCCATTTGAGAAGCAGGGCCAGTCGCAGGCTGTGCCATTTTGCACGGTGGCTCCAAAAGTAACGTATCTGCATCAAGTGGCACTGCCATGCTACAATTACAGCAGCGCCTCAGCCCTTTTCAGCTCTGTTTCACACACACACACTCACACACACCCACACCCACACCCACAGTTTTAAGCAGGGCAGCGTGCCTCAAATGACCGCATTCATGCCTCGAGTTACACCAGGCAGCCACCGGCTTGTGAAGCAGAGACCAGGGGCCCCACCGACACTGATGCGGCGGGCCATGCGCAGCTGCCCATTTGGGAGGCCGCGCCCTCACTGCGCGAGCAGCAAGCCGTCGTCTCCCAGCGCCGGCGGTCGACCCAGAAAGTCCCAGCTGAAGAGGCTC